TTTCTCCTGCAACCACGTCGTTCAACGACGAGCCCAACAGTCACGTGGCCCTTTTTGATGTCTCCATGCCTGGAAGTCAGCCGCTGATACAAAAGGAGACACTGCTTCCAGCACTGCGGGCTGCCTTGGCCCTCAACTGCGAGATCCAGTCTGTAAGTCGCTTTGACCGAAAGCATTATTTCTGGTGGGACCAGCCGGCTGGATATCAAATCACCCAATACTATGAGCCTTTTGCTAAGAATGGTCATATCACACTTTATGCTCGGGACGGCATTGCTGCTGAAGATGGCGAAGGTGTCACCGTTGGTATTAAACAGGTGCAGCTTGAGCAGGATACCGCCAAAACGTTGACACAAACCGGGAATGTGCATTGGCTAGATTTCAACCGAGTGGGTGTGCCTCTGATCGAGATCATTACTGAGCCCGACATGCATCATCCTCGAACGGCTGCCGCACTGGTGCGCAAAATCCAGCTTTTGCTCAACACTGTCGACACTTGTGTTTCGGGAATGGAAACTGGCGGTCTCAGAGCGGACGTGAATGTGTCGGTCCGCAAGACTGACGACCCTTCTTGCAAACTGGGCACACGGACAGAAATCAAGAACCTTGGTACCATAAAAGCCGTCGAGGACGCCATTATCGCCGAAAGAGATCGCCAAATTCAGGAACTAGAAGCCGGTAGGAGCATAGTTGGTGAGACCCGAGGATGGTCACTTGGATCGAAAGAGACCCGGAGGTTGCGAGGCAAGGAAGGCGAAGTCGACTATCGTTACATGCCTGATCCTGATATCGCGCCGCTTGTGATAGGAAATGATTTGGTTGAGCATCTTCGAACTTCGTTGGCCGTGTTGCCAGACGCGGAGCTGGATACGTTAATAAACGATTTTGGACTGACCGCCAAAGATGCTCTATCGCTAATTACTCTGGATAATGGAGCTAGGGTTCAGTATTTTTACAAAGTGTTGGATGGCCTTGACCGAAAGATGCAAGTCGAACTTGCAGATGGGGCTGACAAGACTAGACCGGATTTGAAGAGCTATGCAACTCTTGCTGCAAATTGGGTCACGCACGGACTGGGCCGGTTGACAACGTACAAAGCCGGGCCATTGGCCTCGGCCGAGCTGCTCTTCTCAGCGGACGGTGAATGCGCGCAAGTTCCTGCTGCTGATTTGTCCCAACTCCTCTATCATCTGTGTCTGAACCAAATTACGGGCAAGGTCGCCAAAGAACTCCTTCTGTCTATTTATCTCGAAGAACTGGAAGGTGGTGTAGAAGAGGCCATCGAGGCAAACGGCTTGTGGTTCAGGGAGATTTCGGAGACTGAGTATCGACAGTTGGCAAAAGAGGCTGTGGAAGGAGAAGACAAGGTCTTGCAAGAATTTGTTGGTTATAAGAAGTTTCCGCAAGGAAAGTTGATGTACCTTGTTGGAAAGATGATGAAGATGGGCCCCACGGAGCGGATTAATGCCGCGACTGCTGAGGCTGCTATGAGAGCGCAGATTGAAGCCTCACAAGGCCGAGGTTGATGTTGGCGACGGCGTCAGGCATTGACGTTGCTGCACTGGATGTACAGATAGCTTTGCATGTATAATACAGAAGAATGTATCAAAACGTCGTAATCTTTACTCACGGTGCTCAGCTTGATCTAGCTTTCGCAATGGTAGAAGCTCAATGGCATGGAAAGAAAGGCTGAATGCGGTGCAGACTAGATGGGACGGAACATGGTGTTATCATGGGTTGCAATATGCAATGACCGGCTGGATTTCTAATTGATGTTATACGCCAATCAAGAAAGCCGGTTCCTTCATCCAATAATACAAGATTCTCTGTTGAAATGAACTCCGTCTTACGCTGGCTAGCTGGCTGACCGCATGGGATTTCGAAGAGCATCTAACAGTAATACTTGACGGCCCCACTTCAACGTTGACCTGCTTACTCCGACTTTCTCAACCCAACCCGTGGCGGGACGCAGTCTGTCAGACGCCCGACCATGGAAATTCTGACGAGAGTGACTCAGGCAATCTCACCACCATACTTCGCATCACCACCAGCGACCGTTTCTCGCCGCCGGCGTCGCCTGAATTTCGCCTAGACGAACACAGTTCTCCTCGTCATGGCGACCTCGAACGAGACCCCAGCTGGGGACCTTGCGACCCAAATCCTGCATGCGCTGGACAAGAATTCGCCCCTCCTCTCGTCTGCCGCCTTCCCCACGATCCCCTCCACCGAGGTCAAGGGTGCACTCGATAGACTTGCCTCCCGTGACATGGTCAAGTACGAAACGATCGACCGAGAAGAAGCCATCCTAGAGCCCGAGGGCGAGCAGATTGCCGCCAATGGTAGCCACGAGGCCCGTGTTTTTGAGGCCCTGCGCACCGCAGTGGAGGGTTTGACAATCCAAGAGCTTGAAACCGCAATTGGGGACAAGAATGTGGTCAAGATTGGCCAGGGCCGAGCTTTCAGGGAGAAGTGGATTTCCAAGACCGCAGGTAGGCCTTTTGACACTCTTGGAATTGCGAGACTTGTGTGTTTTTTTTGGGATCGCTAATTGGCCAACATTGCAGATGGCAAGTTCAAGGCCGCCGTGAGTAGCACCTAGATGCACGAGAAAAAAAGAAGACACGACAACATACAAGGTAACTAACGAAGATTCGTGCCTTAGAAAGAGTCTATCAAGGACACCACCAAGGAACAGATGCAGACCATTCAGTCGACAAAATCGTACCCCGATGCCAAGATGCTCGCTGATTTGAAGAAGCGCAAGCTGGTCCGAACGCAGAAGATTATCAGCTTCAACATTCAAAAGGGGAAAAAGTTTGCTCTCAAGATCCCCGAGGTGGCTACCGACTTGACGGCCGACATGATTGCCAGTGGTTCATGGAAGTCAGCTACTTTCAAGGGATACAACTTCAAGGCCTTGGGTGCTGATCAGCACCCTGGAGCTTTGCATCCCCTGAACAAGGTTCGATCCGAGCTGAGGCAAATCTTCTTCGAGATGGGCTTCCAGGAGATGCCCACAGACAAGTATGCAGAAGTTTTGGTGCACAACGTCCATGGCAAGTTTCTGACTTGTGGCCAGGTTCGTCGAGTCGGGATTCTGGAACTTTGATGCGCTCTTTGTGCCGCAACAGCATCCTGCTCGTGATATGCAGGACACCGTATGTATATTGACGTCTGCACTTGTTTGGGAACGGTAGTCGGGCTGACGCTACTGGCAGTTTTACGTCTCGGATCCCAAGGAGGCAGACATGCCTAGAGGGGAAGATTCCAGTGACACGGCTGACTACAAGACCTACTGGGATAATGTCAGGGATGTCCACCAGGTGAGTATGGGTCTATATTGCTCAGATGTAGTCTCGGGGTTAATTCCGTATGCAGGATGGCAAGTACGGCTCCATTGGTTACCGATACCCCTGGTCTGGAGAAGAATCCAAGAAGCTCGTGCTTCGAACGCACACCACAGCCATCAGCGCCAACATGCTGTACAAACTAGCGCAGCAGAAGGGCCCTGACGGCCGTCCGCCACCAGCTCGTTACTTCTCCATCGATCGTGTGTTCCGTAACGAAACAGTAGATGCCACCCACTTGGCAGAATTTCATCAGGTCGAGGGTGTCATTGCTGACTACGACTTGACGCTCGGTGGTCTCATGGAGGTAATATCAGACCATTTTCACAAACAGTCCAAATGGGGTGGAATATCGCTGACCTGACATAGTTTATGGACATCTTCTTCGGCAAGATGGGCATTACCGATCTCAAGTACAAGTGTGCTTACAACCCTTGTGAGTAACTGGCGCCTGAAAATGTTAGCACGCATCCAGACATTAACGGAAGCTGTAGACACTGAGCCCAGCATGGAAATCTTCTCGTATCGTAAGTCCTGATTCATTATTCTCCCATCCAGTGGAGCAATTTCCTCACCAATTCCAGACAAGGGCCTCGGAAAGCTAGTCGAAATCGGCAACAGCGGCATGTTCCGTGCCGAAATGTTGGAATCCATGGGTCTGCCGTAAGTTTCGCTCAACCCCCCAGCGACCTTCACTTCTGCTAGACTTGAAGTTCGTCTAACCTTTCCTTGTAGCAAGGACATGCGAGTGTTCGGCTGGGGTCTCTCCCTTGAGCGCCCCACCATGATCAAGTACGGCATCTCAAACATTCGCGAGCTGCTGGGTCACAAGGTCGATCTCAACTTCATGCGGAACAGCCCCGCAGTGCGTTTGGACAAGGAGTAAAAGATGGAGATTGTGTTACGAAGCTGGCCATGAAGTTGTGTTGAGGAGGGAGGGCATCTCTAGAGATGGACAAACTCGTCGATTTAGGTGGAGCCCAAGTGACGAGCATCAGAGCATAGCAAAATCGAGCCGATTATGACGTTCAATAGAGCCATGACGAGTGTTCACCTGCGGCCCGCCATTGCGAATTCACGAAATTGAAGGGCTACATGTCTGCATTAGTCTGCAGGTTTCAAGCAACAAGTCGTCGTGTGGAGGCGCCTTGCCCGAGCATGCCAAAACCATCACAAGGCATAGAATTCAAATTAGTCCCCGAAGGAGAGAAATGAAAAAAACATCATCCCGTACCTCTCTCCAATCGATGTGTAATGCAGCCACGACATGTGACGGCAAAGGGGTCACAAATCAGAAATCAGCTACTCCGATCTCGATGTTTGCTTCCCAGACATGCGTCATGCCAATCAACGCTGTCGGGCGTTGCGCGGCGAATGGGAGCGTTTGCCCCGCGATCGCGGCCACATGTCGTGTTGATGACATCATGCACCCTTTCTTGCCACGAGACGAGGGGGATTTTTGCTATTAATACATTTTCCCTGACTACCTGGCGTCTCCCCAGTTGAACCAATCTCACCAAAATAACACTCATTACTTCCTTGGAAATCACCAAAACATACCACCACCTAGCAAGTTTGACCGAAATCTGTTCCAACATGTCCTTCCATACAGTACGAGCCGTCCGGTCCGCTGTGCCAATGTGCAGGACCATCATGGTCCAGGCCCCTCGGGCATTCAGCACGTCTGTCGCGATGAGGAAGTCGCCGACAGAGACGGTCAAGGATGGGCTGAAGACGGTGGATAGAGCCGTTACGGATAACGTTGTTCTACCTGGTTTGGAAGCTGCCGGTACGCCTTTTTTTCTTCTAACAGATGTGGCGACAGGTTACTGATGGATTGTAGCAACTGCTGGAAGCAAGATCAAGCACGGGGCAGAGACGGTTGCTCATGAGAGTAAAGGCAAGGCGGCGGAGATGGAGGGCAAGGCGGAAGAATTGAAGGGCAAGGCGAAGGGTGCCGCGGCAGAGGCCGAGGGCAAGGCGAAAGGGACGGCGGAGAAAATCAAAAATCAATTGTGATGAGTGATTTGAAAGCCGGAGCCTACTGAGGGGACGAGTGCTTCTTGTCACGATAGAGAGACGACTGTGTGTCATGTTTGCATCAATTAGAGTGGGACAGCAATTCCTTTTCTCAAAAATTATTTGCCATTCTGATTGTGTGTGTATATTATCTCTGGTCCCGTCGAGCCTCGAACAAACAAAACTTAAACTTAAAGTCATTTCGACAAAAGATGGCGGGATATATAAGAAATCAATACGTCGTTGGGGGTATTGCAGTAGTGCAGGGACAAAAATTACACCTTGGCAGCAGACAACGTAGCACTTTAGCACCCAAATCGCCAGTTAGCTTCGTTCAAGTGAAGTCTAAACAGGTGGGTCCACGTAGGAGATGAAATCCAGAATATCGGCGACCTAGACAGGATTCGTTTGGGCCGCAGATCGTTCGAACTCGCCCAAGGGGAACACAACCCAGGTTGTTGCAGGTGTCATTAGACCAGCACTTCCAGCATAGAATGCAGCCAGGGCGCACAGCACGGCAAATACTCCTCCCGCACGATTGACACGAACCGCCGCAGTCGTATGAGTAGTGGAGATGAACTGAGCAACGCTGAGGAAGAAGAATGCCAGAACAAGCAGGCCCAAGACGGTCAAAATGGCAATGTTTGTTCTCAATGCAGCAATGAAAAAGACGAGGGTGAGGAAGCACCACAGAATCAAGAATATGCCCACGGCGAAGCTGAAGGCGTGCTCATCTCCCCCGTAGGCTTCCTTGATGCCAAGCTGAGGGACCATGAACATGGCAAACGCAAGCCAGAAGGCGCCGTAGGAGCAGTGGACAGTTGTACCAAAGGTGTTGCCCACGCGGAATTCCATGATACCGGCAATGAACTGTGCGGTTCCGCCGTAGAAGACAGCCAGACCGAATACTGCCTGATCAGGACCAACGCTTCCGAGGGGGTTGGAGTTTGGCAATCTGGTGAGAAATGAGTGAGATGTAGCCGAGCATTTTGAGGCAATCCGACTTACCCAGCACCGCACTGGTATAGGCCCAGTACAAAGGTAGTCAGAGCGAAGGCAATGAGGCCCAGAGGTCCAGGATTGGCAATCTTGAAAAATTGAGGGTCATAGACCTGAGAGACCATGGACTGGTAAGGCTTTGGTACTGCTCCCCCAGGACCTGCGTTGGCAGTGGTTGCAGGGATGTGATGGCCATTATTATTGATACCCTCCTTGTACGTCTGCTCAGCGGCAGCATCGTGGTTTCGAACGGGAGCAGACATTTTGGCGATGTTTTGTATCGTGTGGGCCGACGAGTAGCTGTTTGCGATTCGCCATCTCTCGGCACAAGGCAGCAGCCAGCCATCATCTGCCAGCTCCTTTTATAAACCGGGAACAAGCAGCAAAAAAGCACACCGTCTCCTCATCTTCCTCTGCCCCGACATTGCGTCTTCTCTACATGACGGTCGTGGCTGGCCACCAATCATCCACCCACGCACGCCGGTAGCTGCTCTTGCGCGCTCAACAAGGAAGCAGACTCGCAGCTCATGCGGGGTTCGATTGGAAGAAAAAGAAACAGAGTGATGGCTTGTGGCCACGGGAAGTTCGGCTCGCCCATGGAATGATGAATTTCTCCTGCTGGGAGCAGCAGAGATGGTGTGGGCGGGCAATGAGTTGCGATTCGATAGCAGAGGTCTGAGGCATCGGCGAGACATGCCCATAGGCTGTGGGACTAAGACGGGAGTGCGCAAGTACCGACATGGCGTTTCGACTAGGGTGCTTGGGCGCGCCATTGACGAAGGTCTGATCCGATTGACTGTTGCTCCCGTCCCCCCTCGCTGTGGGCTGTGGGAACGTTGGTTTCTAGATTTTTCAAGGTGCTTGAGTGGGCCCAGCATCACCATGCGGTCACGACTCTTGGGCGGCGAAGGATGATCGTCGGTGGAGGAAGGAGCGAGTGATCGACGACGAGAGCAGGCAACTGCCAAATACAGTCAGCACTGAAGCCATGGTCCTTGGAGACGAGGCGTAATGGGCATCCTGGGTAGGATGAATGAATCTGTCATTTTATGACTAAAAACAATAACAATAAAAACAGGACAGAAACTAGGATGGGTGCGTGCCAGCGGTTTGGAGAAGGATAAACGGCATTTCAATCTTTTGACTGCATGTCTCGCTGTACTGAATGCTACACCGCCCGTGATTGATAATCATGACCAAGCCATTCCAATAGGCCGACATTCATCCTAACCAGTCAATCTACCAGTCATATATCAATTGATAGTTGGCCAAGGCAGGCTTGACAGGTCCGTGATTCTAGGTGCCTTTTATTGGCGACTTGGGCCAAGAAAGATGCCAATATTAGAAGTAACTAACTAGTCAATAGGCACTTCCTCCTCCTTGGTGAAAATATGTCGGTATTTCTAGGTCAGGGCTATATCTGCGTAGCTGTGTCGAGATTTAGCTATGGAGACTCAGTTCACTTGCATCTATAACTTTTATTTATTCAACACAGTGATTCACCCTTGGACCCCCGATTCACTGCCATCTTCAACAACACGACATATCAAGCAAAAAGGACAAAAATGACGGCACCTAAGAACCAGGCCGACAACCTTCTTCAAGGTCGATGACCCCCCCTGCCGAGCCTGGCGAGATGGTAGTCAAGAATGCTGCCATCGCCATCAACCGGATCTTGCCTGGTTGCGGACATGCCATAGTGCGAAACGAAATCAGTTGTTGAGTTGTAGACGGTGGATAGAATCCTACTGCCCCTTCTGTTTAGAATGTTCAGCCCTTTTGATCTCCAAAGTGGCCGTAATCGTAGCAGCTTACACGGGGTTTGCCTCCCATCAGTCCTATGCAGTATATGCATGCATGTCTCTCATAGTTACGGCTGCCTCGCAAGCTTCGCCCACTCGACCCGATAGGGGGAAACCAATAACCACCAAGCATCGTTTTTCTGATGTACGGCAAGATTCCGGATTATTTCTTTCATCGCCTTGTGGAAACTTTTACTTCTTCAGGATTCATAGCCCATGAAATATGGTTGCAACCATGAAAGCAACCAAGCCAAGGTACATGGTCCTTGACAGCTTATCATTGCAAACACTGCCATCCATCTACGAGACCGACATGACACCAATTCTCGACGGAAAAGCTCTACAGAAGATGCAACCATCTGCCTACCAAGTTGCTGGATTGTTGAACGGCAAATAAAGCATACTGTGGCCTCAAAGCATTGTTCCGTCGCACTGCGTTGGCGTCGAGAATCCTCTGCCTGACGGTATCGTGCCTGACTAATAATGGCTCTGAAGCTCACATCTCCGGGGCGTGCAGAGCCTGGGGCTCGTCCAAAACTTGCTCACAGTTTATCTCGGATGCTGGCGCGCAATACCCTGCCGCTCATTCCTGAAAATATTTGGTGTGTATGTGTCAGGGCCCACATGGTCACGTGTGAGGCACCAGGTTATTATTGCTACGCTACTACCCTCTAGCTAGCTCTTTTCCTTCTTTTACATGATTAACTTCTTCACTTCTTTTAGCTCTCTTATAATATAACTTATTAATTATATTACGAGCTCTTATAACCTTATTATACCTCCCTTTTATAAGCTCTTATATAGTAGTAATTATACTTGCCTACTCTCTCGGTTAAAACATTAAAATTTTAGCGTTATAAGGCCTCTTAATCCCAGATAAAAAAACATTATTAACTCCACTAAAATCCATTAAATTTCATCCTTAGATTAGGCTAATCTCGTTTATACCCTCCAGGTTATTAAGAAAATTCTCCCTGGTACCCACGCCGCTAGCACCCTGCGGTTTAAGACCTTAAAGCATTGTTACTAAGGCTGTGATTCCCGGAATTGGGGTCAAAAAATTGAGGTCAACTTTTTGACCCTGGTCAGTACATGCTCCACTAATTTAAAGTGGGAATATTACTTTATACCGTCCCACAGTGATTTTTTTAGGCTTATATGTGTTAGGATCAGAGCATTGGAAGTAGTGTAGTTTTGTAGTTTTGTAGTTTTTATAGTTTCAAATATAAAAAATTATATTAAATCTAATAAAATACTTATAGAATTATAAGTTTTACGAATAATTAGCATAAATTTTCTTTATCTTAATAAGTGTAATTACTTTAAAGGTTAACTTATAAATTTAAGGTAAGAGTAATTATAAGTTTACTTTAATATAAATTTTTAATTTTATCCCTTATTTTTTCTTTCTTATTTTAACCTTATCTCTCTTCTCTTTCTCCTTTTAATAGCTTTATTTCTTATTATTAAAGTATAAATTCTTTTTTTAATTTTCATATATTTTACATTTTTATTATATTTAACTATTATTTAACCTTACGTTTATAATTT